GTTACGTTTTGCCGATGACATAGCTTTAATTGCTGAATGCGAGAAAGATCTGACTCAACTAATTAAAGCTGTCATAAAAAAAAGTTAGGATTAACACGGTTGTTTTTTTTTTTATAAAAAAAGAGAGTTATTATAGATATATATATTTATATTGATTATGTATGTATGTGATATTTATCTTTTGTCGCAAAAAGGGAATTATATAAGTAGGTTAATGATTTGAATATTGGGATGGTGAAATCCAATAAATAGTTTTTTTTATATGAGAAGATATTAGGTATTAAGATACAGGTGTTAAATATAAGCTAAATATTTATGTTTAACGCAAGCTGTTGCGTCCTGAGTGGTGACTAAATAACTATTAATAATATTTTCCCTTTCTATCTGTTATTTGCTTGACAAAAGTTATTCTTGATTTATCTTAAGTCTATCCTTAATTTTATGACATGCTTAGAAATATAATTTCTTACCTTGTGTCCAGCTAGCTTGATCGTTTGTTGTAAAAATGATATAAATAAAAAGAGCACTGACTTTTATCTATTTATTTATTTTGTAAAATTATGTAAATTACTAAACTTGAAATATTACTTCACTGTGGTTCCTTTCTATGCTTGGTGTCTGAGTATATGTGTTACTTTATATTTTAAAATGAATATTTAAATAACCAGATAGGTTATGAGAGCCAATCCCTAGTGACACGTTATAAACTATTTTTTTACGAATAGTTTTAACCGCTAGATGTGCTAGGGTAATGACTTCAACAAACTATCAATATTTTATGAAATTGTGTGTTTGATATGAGAGTCGACAGAGTTAGAGACAGGCTGGCTACACCATCGGAGATTACTCTCGTCGATGCACGGACCTTACAGAGTCAAAAACTGCTTGCCGAAAAGAACGTAATGGAATATGAGAATCAATCCCTAGTGACACGTCACAAACTATTGTTTTACCAATAATTTCAACCGCTAGATGTGCTAGGGTAATGATTTCAACAAACCATCAGTATCTTGTGCAATCAATCAAACACGTATCTATTTAAATTTAAGATACATTCTACGATCTCCTTAGTGACACGTCACAAACTATTGTATTACAACAGTTTCAACCGCTAGATGTGCTAAGGTAGATTTTCGAAATGCACTTATTAAATAGACACTCCAATTGAAGAATTAAAAAAATTCTTAATTGGCACAATTCACAAAATACAAAATAAAAATTTAATTTATTTTAATATTTTATAAATATTTAAAACTAAAAAAAATAAAAAGATAAAAATGTTAAGTTATTTTTAAAATGACATTAATAAAGAGAGATTTAGATAATAAACACCAAGTATGAAAAAGATTCTAAGTCATAGAGAGAATATCGCGAAACAGTCTGGTACAGAAACGCTTCATGACCAGATTTTTATAAAAAAAATGAGGTGGTAAATGAGCTAAAAATCGCTCTTTTATAGGCCCGTTTTATGAGGGGGAGATTTAATGTTTTATATTTTAATTGCCAAATCCTTCTCATTGGCTAGTCAAGGAAACTTGAATAGACCTGTGCGCAATCTATTATTCTACTAATTTGAGTTAATGTTTCATATTTGTATTGGTGTTTATATCTATCATCTTCCATAATAATGCGGTTTATTAGAAAAATTATCAATATAATAATATAAATAAAATAAAATTATAAGTGCTAAATATCTATTACAAAGCTACGGATAAAACATTCGAAAATGAGTTGGAAATGAAAATAGATGTGAAGAAAACAAAAGTAATGGTATGTGAAAGGGAAAATAATACAAGAATACAGATAAAAATACGAAACCAAACAATAGAACAAGTAGATGAATTTATATACCTGGGAAGTGCAATCAGCAAGGATGGAAGAAACAGAAGTGAAATTATAAAACGTATCTGTCAAGCTAAAATAGCCTTTAACAAAAAGAAAACTATATTTACATCTAGAAGCATGAGTCTAAAACCTATTAAAGACGTATGAATGGAGCATTGCCCTGTACGGGTGTGAAACCTGGACAATAACAATGGAAGAAAAAAGAAGACTTGAGGCGTTTGAAATGTGGTGCTATAGAAGGATGCTAAAGATAAGTTGGATGGGCAGAGTAACCAACGTGGAAGTACTGGAAAGAATATCAGATGGAAAGTTACTATGGAATAACATAGTCAGAAGACGCAACGATTGGATAGGTCTTATAATGAGACACGAAGGATTGTTGAAATTGATAATAGAAGGAACAGTAGAAGGAAAGAACCGTAAGGGTAGACCAAGATTGGAATTCATTCGACAGATAATAAAGGACCAAGGATGTGACTCATATGTGGTAATGAAAAGGAAGGTGGATAAGAGGGAAGACGGGAAGATGGCTGCAAACCAATCTACGGATTGAAACCATAGAAGAATTAGAAATTTGGTTTTATTTTTTTAATCCTTATTATCAAAATCATCGATCTTTAATTTAACACTCATAGTAGATTTTATTCGTTTTTATTAGTGCGTTCTCGACTGTGAGGTTTGAGTCGTCTAATATGAATAACATCATTAGTGTTAATTTATTATCTAATGTTAATTGTACTGAGTAATTAACATTATTAATTTTTGATATTATTTTAAAAGGACCTCTGAATTTAGCAGCAAGTTTTGACTTTTATTAGCCTGTTGAAACGGAAATTTCACTAGAACTAATTGTCCAGGAGAATATTCTGTTAATTGATGGGTTAAATTTTTTAATTTCTTGTGCTTTTTTTATATACTCAGGTATTTTATCCCTAATTGTTTTTAATTCGTGTAATGCTTGTTTGATATCATATGGAAGAATTTCAGGAGTTAATTGCAAATCTATCGTTAAGTTACCATTAAATCCGTATAATAAATAAAATGGCGTGTGGTTAATGGATTTTTGAGGAGTGATGTTATAACTAAATGTTATGTAAGGTAGACAATAAGACCATCGGTGATAAGAATCATCATTAATGTACTGTCTAATAGCTTGGCATATTACACCATTAATTCTTTCAGTGAATCCTTATGATTGTGGAGCATAACTAGAAGAAAATATTTGTTTTATTCCCAAGTTTTTGCAAACTTGTTCTAGAGCAGAATTACGAAAATTAGAGCCTTGGTCGCTAGAAAGATAGCGTATTACACCATACTTAGTTATGAAATTTATCAAAAATCTAATTACAGTGTTGGCATCAGCCAATCTAGTGGCTTTTGTAAATACATATTTGGTGCTTTAACATGTAAAAACTAAAATATATTTTTTATTGTTAATACTGGCTAACAGACGAAGAAACTTTCTAGGGAAATGATTGCAACAAAAATTTCATTTATTTAGACGAATTTTGTGAAACTTATTCAATAAATGACTTTAGAATAATCATTTGACGATCAAATATGATTCTAAATTAGTCGCTATTATTAAGTTTATTACTATTTTGCATAAAATTGTATAGAGTAACAAAATTGATAATATTTACTCTAAAGGAATCTTTGACATAATTTTGAAAAACTAGTTGTATGTTAGTAAAAATTCATTCTTACTAACAGGAAGTTAGATATGACATATTTATCGTGTTGATGATGTAACATCTTTTTTTTTTTATGAAAATTTAAAAGGTTATTTAATACACAATTTTTTTCAACTTTATTATCAAAGAAGAGTTCGGAAAAACGATTAAAACCATTAAGGTTTTAATAGTTTTTCTTTTTAGCTTTAATAAGAAAATGAGTAGGTATTAATTTTATTATGATTCGTTTATTTTTTTTTTTTTGATTCTGTCACTGCATTTTCTCACCTCTCATTGGACCGATTTTTATTAACGATACTTCAAAAGATCACAAATTGTATCTAGTTGAAATTTACCTTGGAAATTGGAAATATTTCGCTCGTTCCCCGTAAATGACGCAAATCCTCCCAAAAATTACGATTTTTAAAATATGTAAATTTTGGCATATTTTTCACTTTTTTTCTTAAAACTGCTATAACTTTTTAAAAAATGAAAAAATCGACATAAATTTTTATTATATTGAAACCTTAAATATTTCCCTTTCATTTGATATAATTTTATTGATAATAGATATTATCTATAATAAATATTTAAGTGTTACGCACTGAAATATTTGTATCTCCAAAAAATGGGGTAAAATAGGGTAATTAAATTTTTTGTAGAAAATTGATATTATTTTTTTTATTTTATAAATGGGGAATACTGTTTTGATAAAATATTTTTATTGAGTATATGTATTAATTATTACATGTATTTCAATTTGTTACTACAAATTATTTAAACATAATGTTTGACACGGCACCGCCCGTCGCTCTAGGCTAGGGCTCACCCGTGTCTCTCGCGATATCAGCCGTCTAGCTATTAATATGACAATTGGTTGTCTCCCCGACTTTGACACCGAGATAAGGCCGCCGCTGAGTATGGATTACGGATATTGCGTTATGTTCCGTTTTCGACGTACATCTAACTTGTTACATGACTCCGTTTTGTGTTCTCTGTTTTTTTTTCCTGCGTTTTGGTTTGTTTTATTTTACAACGTTTATCGTCGTCAGTACCGAGACCTTTAATTATCCTACATCTTAGACGGATATACATAGGATACTACAGTGCGGTGTCACTAGTGTGGGCGTTATATTAAAACCCACCAGAGCGAACTATATATAAATATATATATAATCTCCAGTGCGGCTTTGCATTAGTTTTCCTTCTTGTTTCATTTAATCACCAGTGCAACTTTACATTAGTCTTATTTTTGTGTTTACTACAAATCAACTGTGCGGCCAACTTCTTTTTTTTGGTTTACGTGTTATGTTAATAAAGTTTTTGTTAAAATTAGAAGCAGACAAAACAAATATTACAAAAAGTGATTTAGAAACATATGGAAGAATTACAAATGAAATGCTTACTTTGACGCATTTATTAGTTAACATGAAGGTGTTGACTAAAATAATGTTATATTTCTTGCTATATTTTAAGTTCATATTCTAAAAATATTGACATAATACGAATGGTTGTAATCATGTATTCTTATATTGAGATTTTTTTAGCATATAATAAGTTTACTATATTTTCTCATTAAAATGGTTGCATGTCAAATATTTTATTTTTTTGTATTTTGGTTAAATTATTCTACAGCGTTAGAATACATTGAGTTAAATTGTAACTTTACTAAGTATATTTTGAATTATTTTAAACATAATGAAAAGTACTTGTTAAAATTAGAAGAAGACAAAACAAATATTTCAATAAATGATTTAAAAATGTATGGAAAATCTATACAATCTCACGGCGAAATTGTGATTGCTATGTTAGAAGCTCTAAGATCCGAAGATAAAGTAAATTATCCATTCGAATTAATGGATGTAAATTTATACTTGAATAACGTTTCAGGATCTGTAGAGATGAGCTATATAAATAAAAGTGGTAAATTTGATCAATTAAATGGAAAATTAAATTTACTAGAAGGGTTTTTGATGATTCATAAAGCAATGGTAAAACGAATTGAAAATTTTATGAATACTATCTGTTCTTATGTATCTTTTGATGAAGTATTTACGAATTGTCCAGATTTTAATGAAAAGAAAGACTATAGAATTCAATTTCTCCCTGGAGTTGTAAAAAAACTAAAAAACAGATTAACTAATAATGACTTGAGATTCAAAGATGAAAGATTAATATTAAATAATAACGAAATATTTAAATTATTGAAATTGGCATTGGAAAATGATTCTCACTGGGATTTTCATCCGAAAAATTTGTTATACTACGATTTAATGATGGGACATCAAAAATTTGATGAACGAAATCTCATGTCAGGTGTACAATATAGAAAATTACCAGAAGTAAAAGATTATAGGGCCGTTAACGTAATGGACTATTTTAAATTTGCACCACTTCAATATCAGTGTCCTGATGGGTCTTTTTTGACACTTTTTGACGTATTTCGTTACATGAAATACAATTTTGATACGAAACAATTACAAGGATATCAAGAGCTAGTGTTAATGTCAACTATTCGGCCAATCTTATTACTTGTCCGTATGTATGCTATATTTTTAAAGAAGTTTTGTCAATATTATATATCAAACTATACGTTTAAAAATACTTCAGATGAAATATATATCAAAATGTTAGAAATTGGTATTGTAGTTGTTGAACAAATTGAATATTTAAATAATCTAAATCTATTTCATATAAAACAGCAAATGTATTTAGATAAACTTTGTTTGTATATTCGAAATATTATTGAAAAAAAAGTAACTTCGTCCTTTAAATATATGGTGAAAAATATAATGTCATACACTAGAGGTTTTTTTAATAGAAATAAATTAAATAACTATTTTGGAGTAATAGCAGATTATACAATTACACATGATAATGTTAAACAGACTTATAACGAGTTCGTCCAACTTATTAATATAAAATCAACATACTTAATTGAATTGGAAAGTTACAAAGAATCACTTAATAAAGTGAATCAAACACGAAATATATTACCAATTTACTTTAATAAATACAGTGAAGAATTATTCAATCCCGAATCTGCTATGATAAGTAATTTCAAAATTAACTAATCATTATTAAAATAATAGTTTTTTAAGTTGAAACCCAATAATAAAAATTAATTATAATTCTAAGTGCCAAAATTTCATAAAGTTTTAATATATAATAAACTAAAAAAATTAATATACATGAATATTGATAGACAACCTATAATTATTTTGAGCTTTTGGTATATTAGATATTATACGACGTTGAATAGGTAATAATTTTATTATAATATGTTTTTTTTTGCCTGTTACCACTTTTTCTCAGCTCCCAACGAACCGTTATCTTTCAACGTTATGTAAAAATATCACAAATTATATTTATTTGAAGATATGACTCTCAACTTTAGAAATAATTTATCTCGTTTCCCGTAAATGGGGAAAATCTCCAAAAAAATTACAAATTTAAAAATCCTTAATTTTTTCAATTTTTTGTGCTTATAACTGCCATAATATTTTCAAAAATGACCAAATCAATACAATTATTTTTATAATTGACTGATGTCTTTACCTATTATTTGGTATTTTTTTTATAAATTTGACCCTTTACCTGGCCATTAAAATGACAACTTTTTCACAAAATATGAACTTTTGAAAGTGTTACGGAAATATTGACACTTTTATATATATCTTAAATTAAAATTGCTGTAATATACTTTATCATGAAAAAAAATGGACTTTATTTTGTTTTCATGATGTAAACGGAAATCAAAGTTAATAAAAAATATGATTTTTATAAAAAAGTTCTTTTTTATATTTTTTATTTTATAATGCTATAATGTAATGCTATAATCGCTCTGTGACCTATTCCTCCCACTCATATATGTTATATAATGTTCTTCCCTCTTTCTAAGATAAGTATTAACCACAGCAAGATCATATGATAATATTAACCTTATTAGTCTTGTTGGAATATTAACTGGTAGAAGTAAAGAGTTCGAAGAAGTATTGAAGAGGAGAAAAGTTAACATTTTGTTGTGTGCAGGAAACTAAGTAGAAAGAAGACAAATCAAGGGAAATAGGCGAGGGTTATAAAACAATATACTCAAGTAAGTCTGTTAAAAAGAATGGTGTAGATATAATAATGGATGAGGTAATAAAAAGTAAAGTAGTAAAAGTATCTAGGAAAAGTGATAGAATTATAAATAATGGTCGTAAAATTGATATTCGAAGAAAAAGTGCTGAATGTAATAAGTGCCTATGCACCACAAGTGGGATGTGATGAAATAGACAAGGAAGTGTTTTGGAGAGAGATAGCTGAGGTGATGCAAGGGGTACCTGGAAATGAGGATGCAGTGATAGGCGGAGATATGAATGGACATGTAGGTAATAAGTGAGAGGATATGAGAGTACATGGAGAATATGATTTTAGTGGGAAGAATGAGGCCGGAAAAAGAATACTGAATTTTGTAGTATCGTATGATCTTACTGTGGTTAATACTTATTTTAGAAAGAGGGAAGAACATTATATAACATATAAGAGTGGAAGTAATAGATCACAGATCGATTATTTTATGTGGAAGAGACAGAGCGTAAAGCGAGTAAAAGAGTGTAGAGTTATAACAGACGAAAGAGTAACTACACAGCATAGACTGATGGTAATGGAGTTGTGGTGTACCGGAAAGAGAATAAATATAAATAGAATAAACATAAAGGAAAAATCGAAGATCCGGTGGTGGAAATTGGAAGAGGAAAATGAAAAAGAGTTTGTAAAGACGGTAAAAGAGAGGACGGTGTGGAATGTCGAGTGAGACATAAATTATGTGTGAAATAAATTTGCTAATTGTGTAAAGAATACTGCAAAGGAAATTGTTGGTGAGAGTAGGAGTAGAATGCCAGGAAACAAGAAAACCTGGTGGTACGATGAGGACGTTAAAAAAATCATAGAAAGTAAGAAAAAGCAGTTCAAAGTATGGCAGAAGAGCAAAAGGAGAGAAAGAGAAGACTGGATGGAGTATAAACGCTTGTGCAAAGAAGCCTGGTGTACTGTAAATAAGGCGAAGTTTAAGAGGTATGATAGGCTAGGAACAAAGGAAGGCGAGAAAGAAATCTATAGACTTGTAAAGATAAGAGTGTAAAAGTCTAAAGATTATCATTATATAAGGTGTATGAAAAGTGTTATTTTCGAGTGATGATGATGTGAAAAAAAGGTGGAAAGAGTATTTTGAAAAATTACTGAATGAGGAGTACACAAAGGGACATTAGAGGATATCTCGTGGAATGAGGGACTGGTAGATTTAATTAGTGAGAAAAAGGCATGGGAGGCTGTGGCATCAATGAAAAAGAATAAAGCAGTAGGACCAGATGAAGTGCCAGTAGAAGTATTGAAAATATTAGGCGATGTTGGCATAAGGTGGTCGAAGGAACTTTTAAATAAAATCTTATTAGAAGAAAAAATTCCAAATGAATGCAGGAATAGTATTGTGGTGCCGATATTTAAAGGTAAAGGAAAACATACAGAAATGTATGAAAAAATTAGTTTAAGAATAAGTAGGAGTAAAACAGAGTATATAGAGTACGAGTTTGATGAAGGAGAACATGAGTTAGGTGAAATAAGGAGACTAGTAACAATAGGCCAGGACGTGATCGTAGAGGTGGAGAGTTTTAAGTATTTAGGGTCAAGTGTGCAAATGAGTTGTGGTATTGACGAGGATGTAAGATACAGAATTAAGTGCGGGTGGTTGAAGTGGAGAGAAGCGTCTGGCGTCTTATGCGATAAAAAAATTCCAATGAGACTGAAAGGTAAATTCTACAAGACTGTAGTGAGACCAGCTATGATGTATAGTTCAGATTGTGTTGGGTGGTTGATAAAAAAGTAGAGCAGAGAATGAGTGTAGCAGAGATGAGAATGCTTAGATGAATAAGTGGAGTGACTAGAGTAGATAAGATAAGATATGAGCATATTAGAGGGAATATAGATGTAGCGTCAATCGTGGATAAGATGAGAAAAAATAGACTTAGATGGTTTGGTCATAATATGAGAAAAGAAAAATCGGAAGCCGTAAGAACAGTTGTAGAAATGAATGTCGAAGGAAGAAGAAGTAGAGGAAGACCAAAAAAGAGATGGAGAGATTTTATTGAATGCGATATGAGGACATCTTATGTGAGCGTAGAGGATGTGGGAGATTGTGTCAAATGGAAGTTTAGGGTAAAGGGGGCCGACTCCAAGTAGTTGGGATTAAGGCGAGGAAAAAGAAGAAGATTTTATAATGCTATAACTAATTGAAAAATATATGGATCAATACATTTTTTTTATGATAAATACTATTTATATATCTTTTTCATTTGACATACTTTTTTTTAAATATAAAAATTTCCCTTTTTATATTTTGTATATATATTATATATACATATATACATGTATAATAGGAGATCAAACAGCTTCTAGAATAATCCATTAAGTTTTTAAAATTAAAAACTATCTACAGATTTGCATCGAAGCGTTTTTCATGATAGTGATTTTAATCATTTAATCAGATATCTTCTATACTCCCAACTATCCCACACCTCCACTTTGGCACACCCCCACTATGCTGGGTTGAGTTCATTTTTGATTGTGACACTACTTATTGTCACTGGACCTATTTTTCTAAACGATACTTCAAAAGATCACTAATGATATCTAGTTGAAGACATTGCCATCAAAAATTGAAAATTTTGCCCTCGTTCCTCGTAAATGGTGAAAATCCCCCAAAAAATGTATGGATCAATACAATTTTTTTTTCATAAACACTATATGTTTCCTTCTTTTATTTGACATACTTTTTTTTAAAATCATATATTTTTCCTTTATACAGGAAGGATTTAATTTTTAAAAATACGAGTAAAAAGTAAAATTTTATCAATTTAACTTTTGAAAATTTTCCGGAAATACTCTGAGCTTTAAATATTTGTCAAATTAAATCTTACGATAAATACTATAAGTAAAAAGTATTATATATCAAACAGTATTTAAATTAAAAAAAAAAAAAATTCG